TGTGTGTGTGTGTGTGTGTGTGTGTGTGTGTGTGTGTGTGTGTGTGTGTATGTGTGTGTTTTGCAGATAAATTAAGACCAGTGAAGATGGCCAACATTCAGCAACTGACCTCATTAGTCAGCACTTTTAAAGAAACGTAAAACGTAAACGTAAAGAAACACTTCTAAAGAAACGTAACGTAAATTCAACTCCACTAGTTTATGAGATATTTTGCCTTTTTTTTTTTTTTTGCTCCGCTCTCGGAGGACTAAGACACTTTTCCTTCTCTCCTGCCCTTCCTTATCTTCCCTGCTTTGCTGCTTGGACCCTCCTCTACGTTTTCATCCGAAACCAGAAATTGTGGATTTTTTTTATGGCTTTGGTTAGCTGGTCTCTTAACAAAGTTAGAACAAAGTTTTCTTCCATGGGAGGACATGTCAAAGGTGGGACCTCTGTTCTTCTTTGTTCTGGATCTGGATTCTGATCACTGGATTCTACAGATTGGCTTGGTGGTCTCCAGGTGTTCTACAAAACAGCGTTGGTGGATTTTCAGGCCATTTCCTGGCTGCCTGACTGATATGAAGGATTGCCGTTCTATCAGCACTTTTGCCTTGAGCGAGCTGGACTCGGTCTGCAAGCGGTTCTGCTGAGGGTCACGGGCCGGCTGTGGTTCCTGGACTTTGCTGGCCAGATGGTGATCTTGGAGAATCTGAGAGCTCGGCTCGGCGGAATTTGGCCACATTATTTGTCTGATTGGATTCACCACACTGAGTTGTACCAGCAGACATTAAGGCAGATGGAAAATTGTTATTGTCTGCTTGGCTCTAAACATTTTCTTCTGTTCCCAAACAACTGATTACAGAATCTGGCTCTGTCCTAAATGGCCTTGAAGAGCTGTTGGGCTAAATTCTTCCTGGATGTTTACGTCGACTGAGGGTCTGCCCCACACCCCCTCACACCAGTCTGTGATCTGGTTCCTGGAGCAGCTGAGGGCCGCACAGAATGAACAGTTAACGTCCATATTCTGAACTATGGCTGTGCTGGTTTTGGGGACTGGAATTTTCGGGCTCATTCTTCAGATATTCACACAGGTGCATACAACACTCATGGCTTCAGATACACCCACCCCCACCCCCCCAATCTCACTTACTCCTCTGGCTAATAAATATGACCCAGAGCACCTGTTCTCCCATGTTTGTTATGTTCTGTCTTCTTCTGAATGGGTGTTCTGAACTGTAATTTCATTGTGCTCTGTACAATGACAAGAAAGGTCTAATCTAATCTAATCTAATCTAATCTAATCTAATCTAATCTAATCTAATAGAAATACATCCAGCACCAACACACAGAGGTTCTGACAGGTTCTGATAAATCCTGTGATTAATGAGTGTTTCAGTGAAAGTGGGTTTTCTTTGTGTTAATCTGAGCCTAAAGAACCAGAGTCCAAACCCGGACCAGACCCAGACTCACCATCGTGGTTGGTGTTCCTGAGCGTCCACGGCTCGTCCAGGTCAAAGTGGGTGTCTCCTCCGATGCCGGCGCCGGGGAAGTAGGCGTGGGCCAGAAACCCCCCCTCACCATCAAACGGAGAGCTGTCACCATGGAAACCAGAGGCAAAGTAGATCATGATGTCCGCCTCCTTCCCCTCTGTCCTCATCTCTGAGTACGGAACCTCCTGAGGGACACCAGGCGGGGGACAGAGGACAGAGGTGTGTCATCAGAGGACAGAGGACAGGTGTGTCACCAAAGGACAGAGGACAGGTGTGTCACCAGAGGACAGAGGACAGGTGTGTCACCAGAGGACAGATGTGTCACCAGAGGACAGGTGTGTCACCAGAGGACAGAGGACAGGTGTGTCACCAGAGGACAGG